CAGAGGGGGAAAGTTGGACTTTGTTTTTAGTGGAAATTTCATCTCTCAGCTCTCTTAATCCTGCCATGTTATATATCACATTTTTTCCCCTTTAGAAAAAAAGCATCCTTCCAAGTTGAATTTGATCTTTGTTTTCTTCTGTAGATGGGATAGGAGAAGGCACCCTGTGTAATACTTTTAATTAACGATCATTAGTTAGCTTATGATTTAGTCTTGATGCTTTTCAAAGGTTTGCTCAGGTTTTTCATTTTAATCTCACATGATACTTACATGCGCTAGAAAATGGTTACCGGTTAGTTATCTTAATGATGTTCTCGTCATGTTGCTGTCCGTACCTGAATCACTAACGATGTACATCTTTGGTAGCATTTTCTTTTTCTGGGTCTCCTCAGCCAGTCCTCTGCCTCCCCCACCCCTCCCCTCAGCATGTGGTAACTATTTGTTCTTTGGCTTTTAGGATCTAGGCATTTGGGAAGGCCTGAAATTTTAGAACATCTGGTGAATTTTTCTTAAAAGTTAGTTGAGTCTTTCATTAGCTAATAGCTGGGAGCCAGAAAGGTCTGCTTTCTGTCACACCGATTATCAAATTGGTCTTTCTTTGATTGTCAGCAGGCATCTTGGTCCCTACTCAAAACTTCACTCTCCGTTAAGAGTCTGGGTCCCTTCAGCCAAGTGATGTTACATAGGGCTTTGCTGGTAGCTTATTTTTCTGCAGAATAGTGTGAACTGTATTTCTCAATTGCTCTCCAGTTGGAGGGTCATTGTTTATCTCTTCTCAGAATAACTACTTATTTCTCAGGTCTTGGTTATATCCAGCTCCAGACACTGCCGAACGATTTTTGTGTGTGTGTGTGTGTGCTACTGGAGGATTCAGGGCTGTTGGTGGTGTAAACAGGCATGAGTTGTGCATTTGGGAGGGTTTGTTTTTTTTTTTTTTTTCTAATAGGCGTGGAACTCTTCCCAGTATATCCACTTACAGGCTCTGACAATAAATCTTGTCAAAAGTTACAGTGACTGGAATTTTTCTCTGATGTATACTGTTGTGTACATGAATATAGTATTTCACGTAGGGCTTAGTGGATTCTTACTGCACTTAGGGGTGGCTATGTGCTCTTTTAAAATTCGTCATACCTGTTACTTGCAGTCTGGCGTGGATGGAATTCGGTTTGATTTGGGGACCATATAGAAAGCATGTGGAATGCAAGCATTTTGTGCTACATCTGTTTCAAGGTTTGCTTTGTAGACACGTTTTATACATAGTGTCACAAGGCTTAACACTGCTTTCATACAACGGTATCTACACAGCTGGGATGAAACCCTGTTTAATAGTTTAAAATTTCGAGTATATCCATATAAGACTAATACATGATTTTAAAAAGTGGGCTTTAGGGGCATCTGGGTGGCTTAGTTGGTTAGGGGTCTGACTTCAGCTCAGGTCGTGATCTCTGGGTTCGTGGGTTCGAGCCCCGTGTCGGGCTCTGTGCTGACAGCTCAGAGCCTGGAGCCCGCTTCGGATTCTGTGTTTCCCCTCTGTCTCTGCCCCTCCTCCACCCACTCCCTGTCTCTCTCTCTCAAAAAAAATAAATAAACAGTAAAAAAAAATTTTTTTAAAGTGGGCTTTGTTTTGCATACTAGTTCCTAATAGTTTTGGCTGAGGTTCCGCTGCCTTGTGTGTGTTGTTTTGCCATGAATCACAATTTCCTTTTATTCAGTGAAAGATAGCTGAGGTAAGCCTGTGGGTACTACCAGCTCCCAGCAAATTGAGGGCACCAAGAAGAAAGTGAACCATGAGACTGGGGAACATAATAAATATTCAAAATAGTTTGATGTTTGAAGTGACTTTCTTAAAATGATATCTTTTTTATTGAAGGAAATGCTTTTTTAATATAAACCTGAGTCACTTTTCTAGAAATAGCTGAAACACATGTATAAATAGTGGGCAGAAGTGTTTTTTTTTTATATATATATAAATAGGAAGAGATGTTTCAAAGAACTAGCCCGAGTCTGTAATTTGAAAACATAGAGCATTTGAAAAAGTGAAACTTTCCCTTGAGTGTTGCTTTTTTTCACATCCTGTAGCTAGTTGTGTTTACTGGTATCTGTATGCCTTTATCAAGATGTATCAGCAAAGGCAGTATTTTGGCTTACAGATTTAGGAAGTAAACTTGGGCTTTTTAAACAATTTTTCTTTTACATTTATTTATTTTTGAGAGACAGAGAGAGA